CCTTGCTCCAGGAGAATCCCACTTTCCAGGTTCTAACATTGAGAGCTCGGGTCAGGGACTTCCAAACTGCATTTCCACAACATTAGTATTATATGAGACACTGATAGACAGTCTCTACCAAACAAGGTTCTGGAATTAAATAAATTTGGGAAACAAAATTATATTTGTTAAACACATATTACACTTTTTTTCTTTTTTTTTTTTTTTCGCTGCGCGGGCCTCTCACTGCTGTGGCCTCTCCCGTTGCGGAGCACCGGCTCCGGACGCGCAGGCTCAGCGGCCATGGCTCACGGGCCCAGCCGCTCCGCGGCATGTGGGATCTTCCCGGACCGGGGCACGAACCCGCGTCCCCTGCATCGGCAGGCGGACTATCAACCACTGCGCCACCAGGGAAGCCCACGTATTACTCATTTTGAGGAAGAGGCTATATAGTAGGTTTTTCTAAATGTACTTGGCCTGCAAACCATCTTTTCAAGTAACTCCTATTTGAGGCAGTATCATGCCTCCGATGCCATTTGGGAAAGGGTGGCTCTGCAGTAGCTTCAGCCCACTCAGTCCTGCCAAATGCTAAGGACCACATTGAAGTCATTCAGATACCCTAGTTATGTAGAAAATAGATATCTCTTTGTGATTTCCCTTAGTTCTGCCTTTTTTTTTTAAGATTTATTTTGATGTGGACCATTTTTAAAGTCTTTGTTGAATTTGTTACAATATTGCTTCTGTTTTATGTTTTGGCTTTTTGGCTGTGAGGCATATGGGATCGTAGCCCCCTGATCAGGGATCGAACCTTCACCCCTTGCATTGGAAAGCGAAGTCTTAACCACTGGACCACCAGGGAAGTCCCTGTCCTGCCTTTTGAATGATAAATAAGTTGAGTCTGCACCTGATGCTCAGTTATTTATTTTTCCATAGGTATGTGTTCTGTGCAATTTTCCATCTAGGTCCCTAATGACTTCCCAGTCTGTATTCCTAACCCAGATCTCTTCCCTGAGCTCCAGGCCCCATATATCCTGCCGTCTGCTAGACAACCACCTACTGGAGATCTTTAATAGGATGTCCAACACGCATTTCAAATGGATTTGTCCCACACAGAAGTGATTACTGCTCTCATAAAACTCATTTCTCCATCTGCATTCCCTAATGGCCTTATTACTACCATCCAGTCAGAAACCTGGGAGATGTTCCGAACTCCAGCCTCCCAGCCAGGTTGTTATTACTGATTCCTCTTGATTCTATCTTCCAAGAAGCTCTTAAATTTGCTTCCTATTTTCCATCTTCAACTGCCATTGTCTATATTGGGGTCCTCCTTACACTGATTTTCTAATTGGCTTCTGTCTTAGGTCAGGTTTTCTGAGAAACAGACTCTGAGACTTGCATGCAGGAAGGTTATTGAAGAGGGCTATGGAGATTAACCCCTGTAGGGGGAGTGGAGGAAGTAAGACCAGGCAGATGGATTTGAACTTTGATGTAGCTGCAAAAATAGCCTCAACCAATCCTACAGGGTGCTCTGGAACTAGATAACCCTTCAGAGTTGTCCCTACTTGATGCAAGGGTTTGGGGTGGGGGAGCCTTAAACCAACACATCCCTACTTTCTTCAGCCTCCACCATCCATACTCCCATCCCCTACTCCCCCCATCCCCCACTGGGTGTGGCTAGTCCCCCAACTGCACCCCAGGGTGGCATAACCTTTGGCCAAGGGCAATTCCCAGTATGGACCTCAGCTGAGAGCCACCAGCCTCTTCCAGCAGGTACAAGAATGAGCGAGTGCCTTAGTCCTGAAGGGGGTCAGAATGGCATACACAGAGTACTGGTCCTGAATCTTGATGCTTTCCAATTCATCCCCCACACCACCACCAGAGGGGTTTTTCTAAACCCAAATTTAATCACACGACACTCTTACTCAAAACCTTACCTACAAGATAGTTCAAATTTGATCTCTGTCTACCTGTGAAGTATGTATGTGCTTGCATATACTCTTGCCCCACTACCAATCTACTACTACTTATCAGTCCTTCACGAATGCTGTTCCCCCTGCTGGGAATGAGTTTTTCCCACTTTTCTCACTAGCAAACTCCTATTCATCCTTTAGGGCCTAGTGTAAGCACCCCTCTTGTGTGATGCCTTCCTTAATATCCTCAAGCAGAGATAATATCCCGTATACTCTTTTCATGCTTTTGCAGTTATTTGCTTACATAACCACAGACTGACCTCCTTAACAGAAAGGCTTGTGTTATATTCATCTTTGAATGTAAGTGAATGAATCAACCAGCCATGTGTTTCAGTATTATATAAAGCTGTGTCTACATGGGCTGACTCAAACTAACTAGGCTTGACTTCAGCCTAGTCAGCTTTTATTTTCAGGGACTTAAATCTAGTTGCCCAGTGAAGGCTATGGGTTCCTGGTGGGGAGGGACTGTATTTGGGGACTCTCACCTAGTTTAGTATATATAGCTCAATGCTCTGAGGGAGCTGGGTGTTTAATAAATCTTTCCCATTATGTTGATGCTTTCCATCATGGTGGGCAAAGGGCATAGCCAATGATCTATGGAATGTGTTATAAAAGAAGACCTGGCTAGCCTAAAAATCTCTCTTTTATGACTGAGGTCTCCCCTCATGTCCATTCTGAAATTCTTATTCTTATATTTCCTGATATATTGGACCTGTGGTCCCTGGAGTTAGGCAAATGCACTCTGGGGCCTGGGCAAGCTGATGCACCTGTAGAAGAGAATTTCTATATCTATTTATGTTATTTTACCCCTTTAAAATTTTCTATATTTTGTGTATGCTTTTTAATTATACTACTGTATAATAATACAGTAGTATAGTAACACATGCATATCATTTATAAAGAAATAATGTAAGGGAATGTAATACTCAAAACATTTTTTACTAAATTGCACATGATTAAAAAAACCTGGAGGGCTTCCCTGGTGGGACAGTTGTTGAGGGTCCGCCTGCCGATTCAGGGGACGCGGGTTCATGCCCCAGTCCGGGAGGATCCCACATGCCGCGGAGCGGCTGGGCCCGTGAGCCATGGCCGCTGAGCCTGCACGTCCGGAGCCTATGCTCCGCAACGGGAGAGGCCATGGCAGTGAGAGGCCCACGTACCGCAAAAAAACAAAAAAAAAAACCCCAAAACCTGGGGCTTCCCTGGTGGCGCAGTGGTTGAGAGTCCACCTGCCGGTGCAGGGGGCGCGGGTTCGTGCCCCGGTCCAGGAGGGTCCCGCATGCCGCGGAGCGGCTGGGCCCGTGGGCCATGGCCGCTGGGCCTGCGCGTCTGGAGCCTGTGCTCCGCGGCGGGAGAGGCTGCAGCGGTGAGAGGCACGCGTACCGCAAAAAAAAAAAAAAAAATACAAAACCTGGAGACTCCTAGATTGAACTCCAAAGACTGGAGGCTTCTTCAACCTTTACCCCTTAGCTTTTTAGCTGCTCCGATTGCCTAGCTAATTTGTGCTAACGGGCACCTAAGGCCTTAGGGGATTCCACGATGTGGAGCAGCTGGGAATGAAAGGTAGGGGCAGGCTGAAGAGCAGGGCTACCTGGGGAGAGTACAGAGGCTGAATCTAGCCAGAGCTGGTGAACCATCTAAGGAGGAATTGAGAACCTGGGATACAAAAGGACGGGGGGGGGGGGGGGAGCAGGAGAGAGCAGTAGGCAGGGCAGCCAGCTGGAGGCGACATGAAAGAGCGACAGTCCCTACCTCCGCCAGGAAGACGCCCTGCCCTGTTTGCCTTTCGCTGTGGTTGGAGCGCACATCAGAGTGTAGCCAGCCAGGTGTGACGGTAGCCATGGCTGCTCCAGAACCCCTACACAGGGGAGCTGCGGGACAGGAAGCTGATTGGAGTTAGGGCATAGGAGCTAACCAGAGCACTGTTCTTACTTGAGTTGCATGGTTATTTGGGGATGGCTTGCAGGGATACATTGATGGTGGAGATTGGGGACGGGGAGCGGGAGGGAGTCATTAGCAATTCAGTGCCCCTTTGGCAGGTGGAAGCTAGTGATCTACATTAGGCGAGAAAGAGGAGTACAGCATCTGAGGTGAGGAGACCCTGATCCAGCACCAAACCCTGCGGACCTGAGGACCACATTGAGATGATGCACCAGAATAGCTCTAGCAGCCTAGAGGCAGCTTCATGATACAGGACCAAAAGGCGTGCGTAGGGAATGGGCCTTCTCAGTGGAGATGAGGTGAGGGAGGAGGGGGACTCCAAGAGTAAGACTCTCGTGAAGAACAAAAGAGAGGCACACGGAGACCCCAAAGGTGAACGAGGCTAATGTCACAGGTTTAGCCCCAGTGTCGAGGAAGTGGGTTTCACCACAGCTCCCCAAGTCCTGGTTCCACTGAAGAATCAGTGGAAAACTGTTTGATGGGCATGGTAGGACACTCTGTACAGAGTTTTCTTACATACAGTTTCTTAGGAAACACAAAAAATCAGAAAGAGAGCGAATGCAATTCCTTTTTATTTGGTTTTTACACCCTCACGTAAGCTCTTAGTATTCTACTGGCAGCAGACCGTAAATCCTTTGAGGGCTACAACCACGTCTAGGTGATAAAACTTTGCATTTGTAAAGCACTTTAGTTAACAGTATCTTTTACATATTATTTCATATATGCTTAGCACACCCAGCAAGGTAGATGTTCTTATATCCACTTTACAGATAGTGATATAAAAATTCGAACAATAAGTTCATTTGTCTAAAACCCAACATTCTGCAGATGAGAAATCGAGGCCCAGGTGTTGGTTAATTGATTTACCACCAACAAAATACAGATACTCATCAAAGCCAGGACCCATGCCCAGGACTCACAGAACTCCACCTTCTTCTCACTCTCCATGCTTTTGGTACACTTCCCTCGCAGCCCACGATGGTGCTAAAGTCAGAGGTCAGCAGACAGAACGTGGCCATGAGGAGTGCCTAACAGATTTTATGGGCTGTGCCTTTCTACTCTCGATTCTCCCAGGCAGTCTCTTCTAACACCCCCTGTGCTTCTTTGCAGCATGCAAAAGGAAAGAGCAAGAACACGGGAAAGATAGAGGCAACACACCCAAAAAGCCCAGGCTGGTCTTCACAGATGTCCAGCGTCGAACTCTACACGCAATATTCAAGGAAAATAAGCGTCCATCCAAAGAATTGCAAATCACCATTTCCCAGCAGCTGGGGTTGGAGCTGAGCACCGTCAGCAACTTCTTCATGAACGCAAGGAGGAGGAGTCTGGACAAGTGGCAGGACGAGGGCAGCTCCAATTCGGGCAACTCATCTTCTTCATCAAGCACTTGTACCAAAGCATGAAGGAATAACCACGAACTGAAACCTCGGTGGAAAAGCTTTAAAAGAAAAAAAAAAATTTTTAAAGACCAGGACCTCAAGATAGCAGGTTTATACTTAGAAATATTTGAAGAAAAAAAAAGTGTTATTTATAGTCCAAAGAAACCAAAGACTTAGCTCACCTGCATTCGGACTTTGTTTGGAGACACACACTTCAGCCAGGTGATGACTTGGCAAGAAAAATTACTAGCGGGAAGACACCACTGGATCTTACAGCTTTAGTCCATGATCATCCTCGCTGTGCTTGGCTGTTTCATGGTTTGGAGCTTAGTGATTTTGAGCCATTGAGTGGACGTCTTTAAGATCAGACTTTCTCATCCACTCCACTGCGCCACGAAGGTGTATGGTGTCTCAGTACTGTGTGTGGGTATGTGCATGAATATACACACATACACACACACACCACCACCACCTCCACCACCACCACCATCACCACCACCATCTCCACCACCACCAGTGGTTAGGGACTTAGGCAGGGCTGGTCTTCAGGAAGGGTTGTGCTGTAGGAGTGCAACCAACATAGTGTGGGGTTGTCTGAGTTCATTGGCTTAGGAGTGTGGTTTTGCTCATCTAGCCTAGCGTTTGAACCTGCAGGCCCGCGACCTAAATGCAGATTCAAACTCGGCAAAGAAATTTGAATGACACCTAAACCAGTGCATTCTCTTTGTTTGTTAAGGACTGTTCAGATATTTTTTAAGAAATGAAACAAGAGTCCATCCATTAAAAAACAAAATCACCTAGGTACCAAAGAACACAATATTATAGTGCAGGTATTTTATTGCAATGATTTTAATAACCAAAGCTATTTTTACACAAGATACTATGTAAAGTTATACGTATGAACTGATCTAGCTGTAATACACATACCACGTAGAATCATGACTATTATTTATGACTCTTGAAGCATTTGAAATATTACTTTGCAGAACTGGCAAGAAAGAATGTAGCTTCAGGGAAGCAATATCAGAACAGAGAGGTCAGTGCAGTATACATATACATCCAGATGGCACCCTCCCTTTCGGGATCCATAAATGTCACTTAAGTAAACATATAGACATGATTCCATGGTCTGATCATAGCTGAGAAAACCTAGGGATTCTTCTGAAGTAGGACTGATTTGTAAACTTAGAAAACTAAGTTTAACAGGACAGGTAACTAAATTAGAAAATTCGTTCAAAGTAATGCTCTTTAGTAAAAGGCCACTGAATAAAGGACCCCATACTTAGGTTAATTCGACTTAAGTTTGCTTTATGCATTTGACACCAAATACCTGTTTAAAATACTTTACAAACACACAAAATAAGCAGACCAACATTATTATTAAAATGAACAATGCAGTTCATTATATCCTGAAAATATAATCAACTGATTTTATCGCCAACCCCAGACATTTTGTGACTTGGACACCAATAAAAATAGCAAGTGCAACAGAGAAATGGTGGAACTGCATAGAAAAAGCAAGAGTTCTAGTGGAAGACAAGACCTTGGGTTCCATAGGTATTAAGCTATTTATTTCACTAAGCATAGCCTCTAAAGAATACTACATTCTTTCTTGCTACTACATTAAGCTGGAAATTTTATAACATAGATTCCACTCTCTAACAGGGACAGATTAAAAACTAGACCTGAACTTACAAATACAAAATTTTAAATTTCTATTTTTCCAAATCACTTAACCAGGGCTATAGAAATCAAGGCAAAAAATAATAATAATAATAATAGTAGTACAGTTGTTCTGGTAGTACCCAAGTGAATTGCTTGATTCCCAGGAAAATTCTCTCTGGATTCAGTTGAACTGTAACTCTTGTAAGTAGATGCCTTTTGTACTAGTAGGTAAAGAATTGGGTACTCTTAATCACCACACCTAACTAGAAATATAAAATTAAATATTATCTCAACAGTAAGCTGTTTATTGAGATTTGTTAAAATGCTAAAGAAAAAATTAAACTATTTTGACACAAAACCTAACTCCTTAGGATCAAATCTCAGCATCTTGTCCAGGTCTAGAAGCAGCAGGCACCTGGAGAGATGAGGCTAAACCCACAATCCATCTGTGTCTCCTTCATGTCTGCTGTGGGATGAGAAAAGGAAACCAAGACATACTTCTCCTTTGATGAAATAGTGCATTTGCCTTGACACATTTTGTCTTAGTATTATTTTTAATCTCGCCCCAAATTCCATCTTTAAATTTTCCCTTCTAAATATGGCACAATTATAGTTCAGCTATTAAAAGAGATCATTTAAATGGCCACCCTTCGAGATTTGCTAAAAATGTAATCTTGTTAATGACATAAATGAAAAAGAAAAAAACTGATGAACTTTTTCTCTCTCTCCAGGAAAGGAAGGGGCCAGGGTACAGCTGTATAATGTATTTATCATGTAGGAGGGAGGAAAGCCTTATTTATTTAAAACATGAGCATTTTAAATGCAGGGAAATTCAAGTTGTGTCTACACACAATCTTACCAAATTCAATACCCCAGGAAAAACAAAAGTTGAATTCAGACAACCATGTCTTTTGCTTTGTTTTTCCTATATAACCCCCTCAGATTAATCTGTGATTTACATTTTCAACCAATTATTTTGGTACTGTGTAGACACAGTCTCAAAGAATATTGCTACATTTTTAATATTCCCACCATAATGTTTTTTTTTTTTTGGCTGCGCCTCCCAGAATTCAGGATCTTAGTTCCCCAACCAGGGATCAAACCCGTGCCCCCTGCAGTGGAAGCATGGAGTCCTAACCACTGGACCACCAGGGAAGTCCCCATAATGTTTTTTTTTCTTTTTGAAAAATAACCAGTGATCCTATTTGCTAACACCAAAGATAATTTTCATACCAGCATTGGATTTGCACCCATTATGCAATTTCAGGGCCTAGAGATATATTTTCTCATAAACAGATGCACAAATCAGAGCCTGAAAAGCAGTTTTTTTTACTTGACTGTTTAAGCATACCCACAACCTTTGCTTTTTAGAAATCCTAGTGGACAAGCTCAGCTTCTCACAAGCAATACATGTATTACATCATGTATGAGTGACTCTTTATTGCTTCTGACTTGGCACATAGAAAATGCTTCTATTCTTGTTTAGTCTAGCGTTAATTTATGACTCAGGTTTCTTCACCTACCACACTCTACAGAGCAGATCCCGTGCCATTTGTTCATGCATCGTTTCTCAATCCTTTAGCAAAATTCACCTAAAAAGATATCTCACTCTTTTCTTTGTATGCGTGTTTATTCCAAAACTGCACTCCAAATAACACATTTTGGGTTTTTTTGGTAGAATGGAAGTTAGACTGGTTTGGGCCATAAATCATTCAGGTCCTCTCATGACCGGAAGCTTCCCTGAAAGGGGGCCAAGAGAAAGAGTGGGAGGTGTGATGTCTGGACATTCCAAAAGCCCAGACATCAGTAAATGTTCAGGTAAAAGGATTCTGTGTGTCAGACACTGAGTATTCCAGTTCCTGGGTGAAGCTGGAACAGACCCCCAAACCCAAAGAAAATGTGTGGGGAAATTTAGAAGTTCTAACTGAACATGTCACTCACTCTGCCCCTCAAAAGCATAATTTTCCAGGAAAAAAAGTAAAATCTCTGTGCTGTTTTTGGATTCATGCCACTCCCATTGCTACCCCAGGTGAACGACCGGTCTTTGCAGGTTAAATGCAAACTTTGCTATACCAAAGAGTCCTAGGACATTTTCACATGAGCTATAAAGGCATTTTCCCTAAGAAAGGTTCTCCCTTCTTTGTACATAAAGGATGAAAACTATGCATTTAGCAAACAAAGAGAAAGCACTTCTCCCTTTCCTATCTATTTGTTTAGGGTGCGTTCAAACACCAGGGGCCGTTATGAGATGCGACTGGCTTTCTGGATTATTCTTGTGGTGTGGTTAGCTTTACAGTACATTTGGTAACTATTTCCTGAATAGTAAGGACAAAGAAGCAGAAGGTAAGAAATAGCTACTTCCATGTGTATTAAAAAAAAAAAAAGTGTAAAGATCTACTATTTATAGTGTGAACCAAAGACGCTACCTCACTCGATTTCCATTGGTGATTTTAATCACATTGATGATACCAAAGAATACCAAAGATATTTTCATGCACGGCCTTGGTCTGCAGAGGGAACTCCGCCCCTTCTCCTCCCCCGCCTCTTCTCCCCACCTCACTCTTCACTCAGTGTGTAATCTTGTCTTCATTCTTAATGATAATAATACGATAATGATAACAACAACGTTAGGAGATACTACTCTTATTACTGGTAGCTCTACTTGTAAATCTCTAGGCAAACATGTTGCAACCTTTGTAAACTCCTAGGACGAGTGCCTTGCTTGAACCAAAGTGTTAAACCGCTGTTGACCTCTCTCACCTTATACTCTTTGAATACCTCAGCCTCTTAGAAAGGCCACTAATGAAAAAAAAAAAAAAAGGAATAATTATTCACCGTGGTGCTTTTTCCGTGCAACCATGCAATGAAACTTTCTTTGATACCAAAGGATGACTTTTTTTCCCCCCAATTTCTTGCTGATAGACCAAAGCTCCTCCTCCTTGCTCCCTCTCAGAGTTCCCCCCACTTCACCGAGTCCCTTCGCCAGGCAGGCCGTGCATCACTTTTACCAATTCCTCCAAATACCTCATAGTAAGAAAGTTTTAGGGTTATGTTGTATAGAGAGTCTATGTGATAAGGCAGAACTCACTAGTTTGATAACTGTTAAGGTTACTTTTAAA